CTTTCATGAATAAATAAATAAAATTTATTAAAAAAAATAAAGGTATTAAGGAAGCCAAAGAAATTACATGTAGCAAACTTCTTCGTCAGTGGCTTAGCTATCAAAAACACAAGTTTTAGGATTAGATGTATCTGAATTTGTCATTTAATAGCTGTGTGACCTTGATCAAATTAAAGTCAAGTCTCCATTTCTTCTTATGTAAAATGAGGTTTATTTTTTATTATTTTTTTAATGATTTTATTTATTAATGCATGAGAGACATAGAGAGAGGCAGGGACACAGGCAGAGGGAGAAGCAGGCTCCATGCAGGGAGCCCGACGTGGGACTCGATCCTGGGTCTCCAGGGTCAGGCCCAGGGCTGAAGGCAACGCTAAACTGCTGAGCCACCCCGGCTGCCCTAAAATGAGGTTTAAAATAGTGTTTATAGCTCATATCATTGTTGTATGCACATATGTTTATATAGAGAGCTTGAAACAACACCTAAAACATGCTAACAGCTCAATAAATGTTAGCTATTATTATCAAAAGCATCACCATCTTAGTCCTCCAGATTTAACAGTTCATTTTCACTGCATTCTGTCCTTTAAAAAATAAATTCAACCAGCATTTGTACATTTTCATTTTCCAATATGATCTCTAATTTTTATTCCCTTAGCAATTTAGATTATTGCAGCCATCCAATCAGATTACTAGGTTTCTTAATTCTGATAGGTTAAAGCTTCCTTTTATTTTTTCCTTTATATTGGCTAGTATAACGACTTACATGTAAAATTTTGCTATTAGTAGACAAGTCAAATAATCTTTACATTTACTTATTTATTCTCCATTAGATCCCTTGAGTTTTTTGAGGGCAGCAGGTGTTGGTCCTCTCTGTATATCTTCACCTATCAAATTCCTTAGCAAATGTTTGTTCAACAAATGAATGTTGATTAGTCCTCCTATCTCAATCCCAATAAACCTATCCTCAGTCTAGTTTCCACATATGCAAAAGGCAGCTCATATATTTTCTAATTCAGTCATTTATTCTGACGAAACTGGCCTGACCACAACATTATGAAGAGCAGTCTCACGGTATTAGTCAGAACTCTTGATTTTGGAACAAAAAATTCTGCTCAAATTAAGCAGAAAGGGGAATTTATTAGCTTGTATACTTTGCAATTTCAAGGACAGCACAAACTTAAAGCCTGGCTATTGGCTTTAAAGGTTCAAACACTATCATCAGAACTTGGCTACACTCTTTCCATCTTTTGGCTCTGCCTTCCATTTATTGGTAAGTTCCAGGCTCACACTGTATTATCTCAGCAACCCCAGGATCCAAAGCATGCCTCTCTCTCAACAGCTCCAATAAAAAAATTCAGAATTAAGTCATGTGTGCTGACTGGAAATGTGCCCATTTTTGAACAATCACTGTAGCCAGAAGGATGGACTACATTGATTGGTGAGACCTGCCTTACTCATGTGCACACCCTTGTGTTGGGATGGGATATCCATGAAATTGAAGGGGATGATTTAATAGGAAAACTGGAGTATTGTTACCAAATGAAAGAGGGAGCATAATGGACTGGAAAAATTAACTGATGTGCCACATACTCTAGGATTTTTTGCATGTTGTCCACTAATGCCTGCAATGGCTTTCCTTCTTATATCTGCCTACTCAAATCCAAGCTACATCCTTTCTGCCCCAAAGTCTTCTGTGATTTCCTTCTAAGATTTTCCTTGTCCACTGGACCAAGTTACCTATTCCCAAATAAATATTTCCCTTTTCCTAAAGATCTACCTTTTTAAACAAACAAGAGTGAAAAACCTCAAGAAAATGTTCCTGATAAATTCTAATCACGTCAAATTATAAACAGTATGGGTAATATATGCTGTTTCTTAGAATAAATATTATAAAATCTATCTATATTATACATATAGGTATATATAATACTCAAATAATTTTCCTGGCTTTAAATTTTAAGTAGTCTAAACAAAACATTTTAACTAACTAAGTCGTGTCTGAATTCATCAAAGTACTTGATATAACAGGTACACTATGGTTTTGGAGTTACCTCAAACTAAGCTCAAATCCTGGCTAATACTGCCTTTCCTGGCCTTTAGCTACAGATCTTCAAACAAATTATCTAATATCTCCAAACCTTGATTTCACTATCTGTAAAAACAGTAATAGTAATACCTATCTGTAAATATGGAGGCTATGTGGTATAGCAGAGAAAAAAAGAGTCAGATGGACCTGGGCTGAAATTCTCCTAAAACTAGTTATGTGACCTTCTCTGAGTGATTCCTCATCTGTAAACTCTGAGTGCCTCCTCATATGTAAAAGGGAAATAATAATGCTTAATCCACTGGTTGTTTTGAGCATTTAACAAGGCAGTGTGTTTTAAAACATCTAGCACAATGAATAGCAAACAGTGTATACTCAATAAATGATGATATCCACACTAAATTATCTGTTTAAAATAATTCCGAGGGGCACCTGGCTGGCTCAGTCAGAAGAACATGTGACTCAATCTCAAAGTTGCAAGTTTGAGGCCACAGTGGATGTAGATTATTTAAAAATAAAATACTTTAGGACTCTTGGGTGGCTCAGTGGTTGAGGGCCTGCCTTCAGCCTGGGGTGTGATCCCGGAGTCCCAGGATCCAGTACAGCATCTGACTCCCTGCATGGAGCCTGCTTCTCCCTCTGCCTGTGTCTCTGCCTCTCTCTCTCTCTGTGTCTCTCATGAATAAATAAAATCTTAAAAAATAAATAAAATATTTAAGGGGTGCCTGGGTGGCTTGGTTAGTTAAACAACTAACTCTTGATTTTGGCTCAGGTCATGATCTCAGGGTTGTGAGATCTAGCCCCATCACAGCTCCACGCTGGTCGTGGACCCTGCCTAAGTTCTCTCCCTTTCCTCCCTTCCCTGTCCGAAAATAAAAAAAATTAAGAATCTAAAAATTTAAAAATAATTCAGAGCACAGAAAGGGAAAAATTCATTGGGATTATTTTTCTTCACAAATAGCTTTGAGTTTTCTTTGTTAATAAAATATTTCTTAAATGCAAAACATGTTGGTCTTAGAAGTATTTAAAAGCAGGTAAGAGAATGACCAGATACACCCCTGTAATCAACTTGTTCTTTAGCTGCAGGCTTAATGCAGTAGTCCTGAAATGACTCACACCAATATAAAATCACAGCATTTCCCATCTCCTGACCATCCTAGGCCATACAGCCATCTCCTGAACAGAATCAGGAAATCAGGGGTGTGACTGACAATTTTAGATGCTGTCTATCAGAACACATACAAAAGGCAAGTGGGGGGCAGCCCAAGTGGCTCAGCAGTTTAGCATCTGCCTTGGCCCAGGGCGTAATCCTGGGGACCCGGAATCGAGTCCCACACCGGGCTCCCTGCAAGGAGCCTGCTTCTCCCTCTGCCTGCGTCTCTGCCTCTTTTTCTGTGTCTCCCATGAATAAATAAATTAACTCTTAAAAAAAAAAAAAAGGAAAAAAAGAAGGCAAGTGGTTGTTCATGCTTATCTCAGCAATAACGTTTAATTTTAAGAACATTCACTAAAAAATACAAATGATCTTCAGTACAACTGTTTCCAAAAAAGAGATTAAATAATTAGAGATTGACTTTCTTCCGTTTTACAGGAAGAATGAAAGTTTTTCTGGAAAGAGGTTTCTTGGAGTGGTTTAACAGTTACATTCATTTTTCTAACGCGAGCAAATCGTACGTAATACTCCCCAATCTTTAATGAGCGCGCAGAGAAAACGACTTAAATCAGAGAATTTAAAATAAAATGGAGTGACTATAAAACGCAAAGTACTACTCATTCTTTGTCTCCAAAAAGAAAAAAAAGAAAAAAGAAAAAAGAAACACCACAGTATATCAAAATAAAAAACTACATCATACTATACAAACTTGTGTAAGGGATTTTTTTCCCCTCCTTTGTGTAAAACATGAATAGGATCGGTTTTTAACCTACTCCCTGAGGAAGCTATATTTCAAACACAAGAGAAACATATTATGTCGAACGCCTCAGTCACCAGACATTGTTCTCCACAACTAAAAAAATAAAATAATTAATAATAATAATAATACCCCATTCCTCATTACCTTTCCTGCGTTCAAATTTATGTATAAAACAAAGCTTTTGGGATGCCTGGGTGGGCTCAGCGGTTGAGCGTCTGCCTTTGGCTCAGGGCATGATCCTGGAGTCCCTGGATCGAGTCCTGCATGAGGCTCCCTGCATGAAGCCTGCTTCTCCCTCTGCCTCTCTCTCTGTGTGTCTATCATGAATAGATAAATAAATAACCTTAAAAAAAAAAAACACAAAGCTTTTTTTTTTTTTTTAAAGCATTAACTCCAGCGGCGGCAGGCAATGCATGGGTCGGCTCTCGTCCCCACGTTCCAGGGAGCGCAGAAGGAAAGAGAAAAGTGACAGGAGCCTGGAGGCTGGCTCGTTCGTTTTACAAGTAACTTGCGTATAAGTCAACTAGATAAGAGGAGAAAGGAGAAAGTCACAGCCTAGGGGGCCCTTTTTTTTTAAAATTTTATTTCTTTATTCATGAGAGACCCAGAGAGGGCGGGGCAGGGGCACAGGCCGAGGGAGCAGCAGGCTCCCCTCAGGCAGCCCGACGCGGGCCTCGATCCCGCGCCCCCGGGGTCACGGCCCGGTCCGAGGCGGCGCTCCACTCCGAGCCCCCCGGGCGCCCCGGCAGGAAGCGCCCGCAGGAGCGTCCGTGCCCGGGAGCCCCATCCCCGCGCCGTCCGCCCAGCACCGCGAGTCGAGGGGCGCCCGCAGGCCCCGGCGGCTGACGAGTTAGTCCCTCAGGGAGCGCGGCCCCGCGCCCGGCGCTCTTCCTCAGGGATGCCGCCGTCCGCCGCCTCGCCCCGGGCTCCCCCGCGGGGGGGCGGCTTGGCCCCGTCCCGCGGCCCCGTCCCGCGCGGCTCCGTGACGCCCCCGCCGCGCCCCAGGCCCCGCCGCCAGCACGGCCGCCCCCGGCCCCGCTCACCCGCCCGGGTGGTGTCCGTCAGGTCGTGGTTGGCCGCTCCCCGGGGGAACTCCCTCAGCTTCCGGCCGCTCAGGCTCAGCACCCCGGTCACGGCCGCCTCCTCCAGCGCCCGATCGAGGGAGCGGCTCCACGGACCGGGGCCCGGGCCCGCCCCCGCGCTGGGGCCGCAGCTAGCGCCGGAGAGACCACCTCCCGAGGCGACCGGGCCGCAGCACTCCGCAGCCGTGGCCACAGCAACCAGGCCCGCGGCCGCCATTTCCCAGCCTCCAGCTCTCCGGCCGCGGCTCGGCGCATGCGCAGCCAGCGCCGCCGGGGGGCTGGGGGCAGGGGGCGGGGGGCTGGGGAGGGGCGAGCGGGGGCGGCCGGTGCTCCGGGGAGGGCTGCGGGGCGGCCCCGCCCACGCCGCGGGCTTCGGCGAGGCCGAGGCGGAGCTCACGCGTCTGGGGCGGCCGCCCCCTCCAGGCGTCCAGGAGCATTTTTATTTCTTTTTTTTTTTTTTTTCCCCAGTAGCATTTTTAAAATGCCTCAGACAACGCTCCCCGCAGGAACTTCTCTGCCTCCCTCCCTCCATCTGGAGGAGAAACGTGAAGGCTTCGCCACACGGCTGCGGCCAGAAACGCAGGCGGGGAGAGCGGGGCGCCCTGGGGCGCGCCCTGCGGAACGCCTCCTCCCGGTCTCCTGCCCGACTCCCGCCGTTCCGTACACCCAGGGATCTAAACGGAGACGTGGATTCGGGCTCCCGAACTCAATCCTTATTTGACCAGGATTACGTGAACGTGTTGGGTCCTCCTTCCCTTTTTATAAAATAGCTCTTAACAAAAACAAACACTTTAAATAGCATTTTGTCCTTTAGTCAGGATTTTTATTGAACAAATCAGGATTGAATGGCATTAAAGTCTTTAAAATTTTTGTCTGGAACCAAGACTGAGTGGGGGAGGTGGGAAATGACCGGACCATACTCTAAATGTGGGAATTAGAAATAGAATGGAAGAAAATGATAAAAATCAATCATTTAGGGACGCCCGGGGGGGCTCAGTGGTTGAGCGTCTGCCTTTGACCCAGGGCCTGATCCTGGAGACCCTGGGAGCCCGTGTCTCTGCCTCTCTCTGTGTCTCTCATGAGGAAATAAAAACTTTAAAAAAAACAAAAAACAAAACCACACACACACACACACACACACACACACACACTTACTGAAAACCTGGAAAATACTTCATTTTAAACCAGTTAGGCTTTCTTTACATTGCCACCAGACTCCAGCATATTCTTTTACACATTTAAGCCGTTCCTGCTACAAGATGTAAAATTCCCTACAACCAATTGACTAGTATTTCTGGGAAACAGAAAAAGCTGCCAGTGTTCTTTTCCTAGATTAGAATCTAATAATCCAGACAAATATATAGTTTAAGTATGTTGTATTTTGATATACGACAAAAAAGGGCTGAATAGGGGTAGTGGGGTTAATCTATCAGAATTTAGAGAAAAGGAACCTGTATCATGGATGAATGGTTTTAAATCAAATCTGACTAAAACCATAATCATATATTCCATGTTAATGCTACAATGCTACAGGTTACATCTTTATAAAACGCACCATTATATCATCTGAATTTGATTACCTATTACCTTCCATATCTAAACTTTTCTAACAAGTCCTCCAGATTATGGCCTCATTCTTCCCACCTACCTACACATTTATCTCATTATAATTGCAACATACCATGCCAATCTTGGCCTCTGAACTTCTGACCAAGTTTATAGATTGACATTACTTTGTCAACTAGATTTTAAGGTCATTAATATGTTAAACTCTGTAATTATCTTCCATACCCCAGAGTTGAGTATTTTAATTGGAGCTAAGTAAGAATGAATGGAAGCAGACAGAGAAGATGTGTTGTGCACTAACACTGCAGATGTTATGTACTACTAGGAGAAAAAGAAGTTTGGGAGGAAAGAAAAAAATTTTAGAACAGGGTAGATACATCTGTAAGTATTTAAAATCCAAAAGAAAAGCCTATGGATAGGAGAAATGAAGATGCTGTATATACCACGAGAGCAAGATCTAGGTAGAGAGGCTGGAAGAAAAGATAGCTCAGAGTTAATTTTAAGACTTCTAAAGATTTGAGGTCTCATCTACAAAGGTAGAAGTCTCATCCTACTCCCTCAATCTTCCCCATAAAACAAGAGTATCATCCTGTGAGAGAGAGATTAGGAAATGGAATCACTGTGAGGATTTCACTAATGTCCAATGATGAATAAAAGGTGTTGAGAAACGGTTGCAAAAAGGCTATGAGCAAAGGAGCTACAGGGGCCTGTAACTTATCTACAACTGTTCTGTGGCCCAGAAATAGCTGAAAAAACCAGGCAGTGAGGGTTATTGAATGTTAGGAATTGATAGAGGACTTCCCTGCTACTTCCTGTTTATTTTACGGCTGAAAGTAACTCCTTGAATATCAGGGGCAATAGTTTCACTCAAATCTCAAGAGTTTTCCAGCTCTGTTATCTCCCTACGCCATGCAGAAATAAAATGCTTTCCTCCTTCCACTCACTAAGAACATGTGGTCACTCCTTTAAGACTCCATTTTTATAAACTCAGAGCAATGGGATTAAAATCTTCAATCTTATGCTCTCAATGTAAAGCACAGAAACTGGTTTGGTGAAGACATTCAATAAATGTTCGGTTCTTCCCTTTCTGACTCCTTTAATAAGACGCACTAACTTTTTTAAACTTTATACAAGAAAAATCAGACAATATGATTTTTTTCTTATTAAAGGAAAGTGGAAATAGAAGTAGAAATCAGACACATACACACTATGGAAATAGTTTCCTATTCATCTTTAAACATCAGTAAACCTCATGTAAAATACATTTCAGAACAAGGAATTTCAGCTCCAGCATTGTACTACTTCCTTGTTTCAACAAGATTTTTGGTAGTAGATTTGATAGAATTAACAATGTCAGAGGAAAAAAAGAGGCGTTAGTAAGAAAATCTTTAAATTCCTTATTAGCGGCCCACAATAGTCTAGTACTCCGTTGTAAATGCTTGTGGTTTATTGTTAACACTTTTTAAAAGGGAGTAACTGCAAATTGAGCCATGTAAAAAGAACTGTCTTTAAAAGGAAGCTTATGGACACCTGGGTGGCTCAGCGGTTGAGTGTCCGCCTTTGGCTCAGGGCATGATCCCCAGGATCAGGATAAAGTCCCACATGGGGCTTCCTGCAGGGAGCCTGCTTCTCCCTTTGCCTATGTCTCTGCCTCTCTCTGTGTCTCTCATGAATAAATACAATCTTTAAAAAAAAAACTCACTTTTTTTTTTACAAGGGCAACAGAATAATTTTGATGATGCTTTGTCAAATACACTACTCAAAAATGAAGAAAACATTTTCTGCTCTGATAGTGCCTGTATTCAGAAGGTATGGTATCCATTCTTTGCAGTGCAAAGTCAGCTATTTTTTTCTCTTATCTCATTGTAGCAATGAATCTGAATCAGGACAAAAATTACCCCAATATACTAAGAAACAAAACAAAAGAGCAAAGGGGAAAAAGAGAAAACTAAGAAACAGACTATTAACTATAGGGAAACTGATGGTTACCACAGGAAAGGTGGATGGAGAGATACCATGATGAAATAGATGATAGGGATTAAGAAATAGATGATAGGGATGCTTGTCATGATGAGCACTGGGTGATTAAAATAAAAATATAAAGAAATAAAAATTAAAAACTATCCTGACACTGTGTATGCTGTGTTAATTATAAAGGTCCTGACAGCAAAATAGGATATATATATATATACATACATATATATATATACATATACACACACACACACACACACACACACAGTCTAACAAAAAATTATCAGTGGGCAATGAAGCCTATAATAGGTTTCTTCATACTTAAAAGTATTTTATGATGTGCTTGTAATTTAAATTGTGAAATTTATGCCTATTAGAAAAAAATGTCTAGCTAGCAACTCTGGCCTTAGTGTCTCCATAGCTTTAATACCGAAATAATGAAGTCTCAATAATCATGGTTAAGTAGATTTACTTAGCATGCTACAAATGCTAAAGCATGGCTAATTACCGTTTCTTAGACATCTGACAGCTACTTTCTCTGGGTGTTCAAGTCACAGCAGCAGTTTATTATGAATTGAGAATTAAAAGACCTGAGCTCAAAAAGTGAATCTGCCATATATAAATCTTGAAAAGCTGAACCTCACTTAACTAAGATGTAGATAAGAGAAGTTGAAATGGATGATGGAGAAAGGTTCATCCAGCTTGAAATTCTGCATTCTAAGTAAATTTGATTCTTTAACTCCTCCTAGCTATTTTGCTTCCTTGGTTGGAGCTTATGAATGAAATGATCAAAAGGCAGTGAGAATGAGTCTAGACTGATTTACCAATTTAATTGGTAGGTAGTTTTTCAAACCCTAAAAATTATAACCACTATAAAGTTCTTTGTAGCACAGAACAATCTAAAAACCACAACTCAATCTTTATAGCTAAGAATAAATGTGAGACCTGTAACATTTTATTTGTTAAAAATGAACAGCTTCAGAATAGATCTAAATTTGTAACTTTTCCAAAAAACACCAAAAAGTACAGTGTAAAGCATCTCCTCATTAAATACAAACTTTCATTTTGTGATGCACTGCATCAATGTTTTGCATACACCTTGATGCAAAGGAAATTTTAAGTTGTATCTTGTTTAAAAAAAATTTAAGAACTGAAAAAGGATGACTACAACCACATTCCAAGAAAGGAAATTTTCCTCCAACAAAGCATATTCTTTTGTTTATATACAACATGTTACCACTCAAGAATTTTAATTTAGTTAACAAAGGCAAAATTTTATATTTAAAAAGAAAATGAAATTAGAGATGCATGAAGGAGCAAAAGTTTAATACACCAAAGACACTTTGTTTGTGATGCAATTAATGTCAATATTTGGGACAATTTTTAAGGTTTTCAAGAAAAATGGCAATAATAATAGCTCTGTACAATATTTAAAATTAAAAAAAATGAAAGCATCTTTATACCATATTTTCACAAACTGTTCTAAAGACAGCAAATTTGTGCTCAGTTGTTTTTCTTTTGCTTTAAAATAAGCTACCAGTGACTCTTAACCAGTCTAAAATAAAACGGACTGTTCATGGATGAAATCTAAGCATTTGTACTTGCAAAAATGTTTTGCAATGAGTCCTTGGCCAAAGGAGACTAGAGTTTATTTTCAAATTGTGTGACTGGCTTCCAATAATCCCTTATCAGTA